CTAAGTAGTTCCAGCGTTGACCGCTCGATAGCGCCGCTTACCCGCGCTAGAAAAAATCAGTCCGGGAACTTTCCGGACAAACTGTGTATACGTGACGATTACCTTGTATAATCCATCCGTCGTATGATAAAAGAAAAACGAACGTACACCCCCACAAAATGCGTGGAAAAAATGGATGTTATTATTGCGGATTGTATTCTTACAAGTTTATATTATATATCAATATGATTAAAGATCGTAAGCCGTAAGTCGTCAATGGTAAATTCATTTGTGACGTGATGAGCGCAAATATTTCTTCTCAATGTGTCGTCTTCGATCCTAGAACGAAATTCGTCCACATTGCCACGCTTCATTAGGAACATATTGTCGCTCGTCGTATCGCTCTTATCTCACTATATTGTATACTTTCTAATTTTCAAAAATCTCGTGTAACGTGTCCCTCCGCGAGTGATTTTTTTTTGTTTTTTTTTTTTTTTTTAGTTTCTATCGATAAATTGTTTCGTGGCAGTACTTTCGATACACTACTTTCATCACCTGTATATTCGGTGGATCTTCATCTTCCCGCAAAAAATACACGTCGTTCGATGACTAGTGAAAGCTCGAATGTGCTTTACAAAAGAATCCTCCCGAATCGATTGGTCCTTTTTCTTCTGGCGCAGACGGGGAGAGGCCGAGCGCGGAATTCGGATCAATCATCCCCTCGTTGCTCAGAAAAAGTAGAACACCCAATACACGGCGTTGAATAGCATGAAACTGACCGGGAAGATGATTCGCGAATACTTATCTATCACGTTCACATCTTTGATCTTTGGCATCGACACGCGCAACACGGAAGCGCCTCTACGCAGAGCGTGTAACATCTGAAATCAACACGTGTGTAATTTAGAAATTGAAAGAGAAAACACACTACTTTGTAAGAAATGAAGAAAAAAATTGCGCGATAGAGAAAAAACAAAGAGACGATTAGAATAAAATAAATTTTTTTTTTGGCAAAAATGTTTCTCGCGTACCTTTGGCTTGTGCGGTCTCGGACCTCTGTACCTAAGGCCGCTGTTACGTGTATTGTAAACGGCAGATCTGGAGATGCGGAAGCTCGGCGGGAACTTAGCCGGATCGTGATCCTTACCGGTTCCCGGTGTTGACGAGGCGCTGACCAAACCCGATCTGTTTCTGATGCTCGGCAACGGTGACATTCTGAGATCCTGGAGCTCGATAATATCCGCGTCCGTGCCACCGGGAAAGGGCGAACTGGCTTTGCTTCCTGAAGTAAAACATTGACAAATAGAAGAATTTCAAAAGAGAAAAGAAAAATTCTTCATCGCGCGAATTATTCGGATTTTACCGGTTTTGGAAGAAATCACTTTCTTCTCGTCGGTGTCTTTCTTCTTGGTCTTCTTCTTGGCTCTGGCGCCCCAATACGTGTAATTGACCGCCGCGTATTCCAACAGTGCCGCGAACACGAAGACAAAGCACATCACGAGATAGATGTCGATTGCCTTCACGTAACTGATCCGTGGCAGTGAGCTTCTGACACCCGTCGATATTGTTGTCATTGTCAACACGGTCGTGATACCTGAAAAAGAAACAATGAGCTACCAATTTTACTCTCTCTCTTACTCGTAATTTTTTCTATTATTTACGCGAGATTTTCCTCTATTTACTTTTCGCGTATGTTATTTTTTATTATTTTTCACAGAGACACGAAAAAATTTCGTTGCACTCTCACCGAGAGCTACCCTCGCGCTGGTGGCCTCGTGATTGATCCAGAAGCTAACCCAGCTGAGCATCACAATCAGTATGCTCGGCAGATATGTCTGAAAAACGAAGTAACCGATGTTCCTCTGGAGCTTAAAACTCAACGAGAGCCGCTGATAGGTGCCCGTTGCCAGCCTCTCCTTTCGATCGTTGGTTTCGTACCCGATTATCGTAAATTGCGGCAATTCTGCCTCCTTGACCCCGCGAACGGGAGTTTCTTTCCAGTACATCACCACGTCGAGCACCGTGTATCCATCTGAACATTCGGAACAGCGTGTAATTCGGACCGCATTCAATTTGGGGTTTAAAATTCTTTTTTCGCTTATTATTCAAACAAACGTATGTGTGACAAAAAAAGTATGACTTTTCAAAACAAGGAAATAAAAAAAACTTTGCTGAATTATTTATTTTTAAAGCGTGCGAAGAAAAGATTGAAAAAATGAGAAAATCGCAGAGGTTTCTTTTTTTTTTTTTTTATGTAAATTTTTGAACAAAATTTGCTACGCACGTGAGAAGAGAATTTGGATGGACATCATTTTACATGTACATGTGTATATATTCGACGTGCATTCAAAACACACGTGTGTACGGATATACGTACAGCTTTCAATTTCGACGGTGCAATTCTGCGAGTCGAGAGGATAGTAATGTAGGTCCATCATACAGGCCAGGGTCGTTGTGAATCTCATGCCGTATGTGACTGAGCCGTCGCCCGATAATCTCACGAGCTTGTTGCGCTCGGTAACGTCGTGCAGAAAGCTGCGAAAACGCGCATTTGAGCGAAACAGTACGCACAGTAATGCCGAAAGGCATCCGATAAAGAAATACGATTTTTAAAATGATCGCTATAATGCTCGGTACATAAACTTTTGAAGCGTCGTGTATCTATATCTATTTGTTTTTGCGATTATACCTGTTTTTATCGTTGGCGAAAAACGTATCTGGGACCCAGATCTTCTCCGCGAAATCGCCACTCAACGTCAAGACATCGTTCTCGTTCGAAAAGGCGAGTCTCTCGTCTTTCCAGTATTGATTTAAATACATCGTTATCGTGTAATCCTGAGACGTCAAGGAGGAATTAATGTGATAAATATAATTTGTCATATTATTACAATTAATTGTATATATAAATTGAGTGGAAAATTTAATAGAACTCGATCTAATATATAAAGCGGCTTATCGTAGTCCAGGAGAATCGATTCGAGAATTCACAACGACAAAGATGTTATGATGTATGAACACGGAAAGAGAACAAAAGGAGAGAGTTTGTACTTTGAAATTCTGCGTATAATATTCCGATATACAAACATCCGACACAAACGCGTAAACCTGTCAGTTCACGTTGTACGAGAATATAGTGAATAGTAATATAAATTTGAGAGAGAGAGAGAGAGAGTGTGTGTTTATCATTAATATATGTATAAACACGAGAATTAAAATTCACTACGTATATGTGTATATATACATAAATATATATATGTACATATACTCGCTGAGATCGTGAAAAAAATATCAACACATTCGCGGCCGATGACGTAGACACCGCTTCCTACGTCATTTAAAATCTGTAGCTGAAGATTGGCTGACGTAGTTCTACGTCATTTTTTTTTTTCACTCTTCATGTTCATTTGTTTAATGAATATATAAGTGTAATATGATGAAACAATATTTTGTATCTTTTACACTTATTTAAATAAACAAATCCTGCGGTTCTCAGCTATAGAAAATTGTATGAAAATTAATAACAAGAAATATATAAAAGGCCTTACGAGCCATCCGCTCGTTTGAGCGGAAACTGTGCGTGTATATATATATATATACACACAGGTAACGAATTCAACTTGTAAATTTTTACAAGTGAGTGTTTTTTGAATTGAAATCTCAATTCTTAAATTCATACGGGATGCTGGATTTGCATCTCACATATGAGAGACCCCCGGGATACCCCCCTAACTAATTTTAAAATATTGCGAAAAAAACTCCTCGGCCAGGAGTCGAGAACCTGGAATCTCCGGCTTTCCGTGCCATCGCCTTCCCTGTTAGGCCACTGAGGCACTTGGAATTAGTCTCGCAATATTCATACATATATCGAAGATGGTCTGATAATTGTTTAAAATTACGCTGGCTGAAAATTAGCGTTAACAACATTATGAAAATTGTTTTAGATATTGTTTTTTTGAAAATTGTATGGCGGCTGTCCGTAACGATTTTGCTCTAGAATTGCCGCGAATGTGTTAATATCAAAGAACATCGGATTTATATTTTATATGTTCTTTATGTGTTTTTTAGATATACTTACCATATTGACTTCTGAGATCGCGTCGAAACTCGCGATGGTGAGATCCATCCCGACTGATAATGGTTCACCTTTGAATAACAATCTTTCATTAATTTTTCAAATACTTTCAAAATACTGGATATAAAAACGCGCGCAAAATTGAACATCTCAATTTCTTTATTTTTCGCCGATCGAAAAGCTGTTTGCCGATAGGAAACGCCGTTTTGAAACGGGGGAAAGAAATAATTTAAAGCCGTCTTTCTAATCCATTGATAATATATTGGCAAATTACTTCCCCTTGTTGCACGCTCGATTAAAGGCGCTGATTGCGATCGGCGCTTCGTTGAGTGACGTGGAAAACTTCATTAAAAGCTTACGTAGCGCTTATATATCTAAAAGTTCCCCTGTGTGCTTTTCGGTAGTCATTTTTATTCCACAATCTACCTCTATTAAATGTAGCTTCACATCTAACAATAAGTTTATAAACGATAGTTTTACAGGAATTCCCGATCCGTGTGGTTGCTCTAGTGTAACATTTTTATACACACACGGAATTGTATTATTATATACTATTTTGTATATTTATTTGTACACTCTATATATGTATTTAATCAAGATAACTTTTAACTAAGCGTGCACAGAGATATAGAGATCGATAAGATCTCGAACTTACCGCCAAAGTTCGGCCTTAATCGAATATCGTAGCCGTCGAGTATCCTCGAAATTGTCTGCGTAACGTTCTCCAATCTATCGGACATTTCGGTACTCTCCGGGGAAGCCCTGTGAAGTGTGAAATTCGGAAATTCGAAAATTCGGAAACTTTGAACTCAAACGCTGTTACGATATCCTTTACCAAACGCACAGTATTAATTGTTATTAAATACGCTTAATAGTTTTCCGTGAAGAAGACAAAATTTATAACGTTTTGTATATTAGCATTAGTTGTTTTATATATAATTTTCTAAACATTATATATAATTTTCTAAACATTATATATTATATACAGTCGAGGGCGTGTATACAGTCTCTTCACCCATGAAGTTGCGAATAATATTTTTTATTATTTAAAACATTATTGATGTGCTACTTCATGTGGGGAGGCATATACGCTCTCCTAACTGTATAATATATACTACACGTGTCTTATATCGATTACCATCAGAGCTCTGACTTTTTGAAGTATGCGCCGAAAGATTCGCGTTTTCGACGTTCGTCTTTGTCAAATATGGCCTGACGAAGAAAAAAACGTTTCAAAATTCGCCTAATATTTTTGTACGCAATTAGTCTAACAAATTTCGTTTGCTTGTGTTTCTACCGACTATATCGCAATCCGTGCGCGCAACTCTCTTCGATAAATAAATCAGAACGAAAATTAATTACGTAACAAGAATCATGGACGTAAAGGAGATAATGTCGTACATCTCGAAATTTCTTCCATTGTGCAGTTCGGGCACTGTCGACCTAGTCTGGTCGGTTGTTATTATTTTCTTCGCCATCGCGTTATTCTTCATCTTTTCAAGAAATTAGGAAGGATCTCTCTCTCTTTGACGATCTCTCGCGCCGGAACACGACGAGATGATGTCGCGGAATGCGAGGTTGCTCGAAGAGGATTATCAGGATTGTCTTTTGCCCGGGAAATGGAGCTTTGTTGTTCCTGCTTGTGTACAGCGGACTGATTGGGATTCTGATTGCCCGAACAATCGTTTGCGTCGCGCGTCGAGCTTAATTCAGGTATCTAATTACTTCCTTTCGCGCTTAATCGTGCCAATTCATTTCTGTGTATAAATTAGTTCGCTTTCGCGTGAACGCGAATTGAATTGTTTCTTAACGAGTTAACTTCCGACATTCGTTTAAGATATTATCTCGCGAACTTTCTATATATATATTTTAAATCGCAATCTCTCGCGTCTCGAACATTATATTACATCGGACGAAGAGTCTCTGAACTTTTTGGTGAACATTTTTTAAAATCAGTTTCTTCGAACTGAAACCTCGTTAGGCGAACAAGCTTATAAAATCGATTTTCCTTTAGCAAAATACTTTCTTGTACAAGAACCCGAATAAGACCTTCGGTTGTACCGCGCAGAGATTAAAGTGGATCTCTTCAAAATAACATGGGATTTCTAGCTACAATTCTATCGCAACAAGATTTCTACAAAGTGCGTATTTAGTTGTATTGTAAACTATCGTAATTTGCAAGGGTTTGCAAACTTTACATTTTTTTCCTATTTTTTCTTTTATTATTAAACGTGATGTATTTCAATTTTATGGTCAAACGGTATTATTTAAATAAAATGGTAAAATGAGAAGTGACCTCTCAAGTTCGGTTAATTTAAAGTAAATGTAAAAAAAAAAAAAAAAAAAACGGCAATTGTGAACCAATACGCGGTATTTTATTTATTAATTTAATAGCGACAAAATCGGATCTTATATATATTACATTTTCGAAAGACGTATTCTTCGTTATTTGTCTGCTTTGGTATGCCAGAGTGTGAGTATCTCACATCTCCCTTCGAGATACGTACAATCGAACCCCGTAAGTCGCGTATGCGTGTCACGTGTTCGTTACAATCCATTGGAAATCCGAGAATTGGAGAGCGTCGTTTATCCGCCGCAATTTTTTTGCGACAGGAGTACGAAGAGAAGGATTCGAGAGATAACGATGCTCACCAGATGACACGATGACGCAGCTGCACGAGAAGGAGGAGGACGATCAGCAGTCCGCACGGCAGCATCCTGCCAATCGTCTTTCGTTATCCGGACGGGATTGCGTCAGTGAACGACGAAAGTGGCGGAGAACGTCATCTCGCGGTGTCCTCGCATCCTCTCGGCATCTCCGTGACCGGCTCGCTGCCACCGTCGCCGTTCTGAAATCACAAATGTGAGAAGGGAAGAGAGACCCTTTCCAACTTTGACCTTGTTCCGCACTCTCTTGAGTTGTTCCCGCACGCACTAGAACACAATCGACCTTGCATAATAAATTCTAACTCCGGCACAATCCTTAAAAAAATGGAATGAAGGATTTATCTTACCCTCACTTGTGTCAATTCCAAACTTTATGTGAACAAATATAGGTTCAATTAAATTTTCAAAGAAAAAGTACTCGTTGAATATATATATATATATGTATTATTTACTTTAATTCGGTGTTTCCATAATCGGAGATAAAAGGACGACAACAAATTACGGTGGTTTACGGATTAAGCGATAAGGAATTAAGAATGCAGGGAAATTAATTTAAAACAGAATCGAGTGTAAAACCATTTCCCGATGAATTTAAGCCCTAAAGCTCATAGCCGCACTTGTCTGTTTTTCTCTGTTTTTATTTATTTTTCAGCAGAAAATCGATCGGTTAAAAACTCGATATATAACGTCATTTGCATGTACATTTATACATATATGTATGGCAATTGATCAGATTAAAGAATAAAGCACAACAAACCGTGGACCGGCGCGATGAAGTATCAGCGATGGTGCGCACAATACGGCGAAATAAGAATGAAATAAAATATCGTACATAACACGCTCTAAATATCGTCCGTGCGGGGGCAAAATTCGTTCTATTCGCTTTCAGCTTTAAAGATCGTGTCGCGCACGAAGACGACGACGTTTGCTTTCGCAAATGTGACGTTTGCGGAAGCAGAAAAAAAAACTTGAAAGACGCGACAAAATAATATAGACCGCAATATATTGCATACTCCGAATACACATACTTTTTCCCCGAGGCAATCAAGACGAAGACGATCTTGTTAGTCACGAAATTCTATACTCCGTAAATAATGACGGTTATGAATAATTTTTTTTTTTTTTTTTTTTTGGTTCTCGTCCCGTCGGCTGGATTTATTAATGCGCGCGGTTCAGATTGACGACAGGGAATATTTCATGCACGCGATACCCCTTGCGTAAGTATTCCGAAGTGCGATACATCTTCCAACATGCGTTTCTCCTTGTAAAACATACAATAAGAATTGTATCACCGATTGTAGAATATGAAGAATAATATATTTTAGAATCGCACAAGCGGTAAGTATTAAAGTTATATTTTACAACATTGAAAACTTGAGGTAATAAATAATGAAAAAGAACTAATAAAAAAAAACTAATTTATAAAATCTCTCGTTAATTTTTTTTATATTTTACCAATAGATGCATGTTTTGCTCGTTATTTAGATCTGCGCTGTCTAAAAAAAAAAAAACAAACGTTTACCTGCTGCATCCGACGAGAATCACGACACACGACGCGACGATCTCATTGTCGATCTGACTGGGGAATGTGGAAACGATCAGCCTCTGATTATCGCGCCGTCGTCGACCCGAGTTATCGCTCGCGCGCACTTTGTGCTTTCATCGTAACTTGAAATCGATCGGAGCGCGAGATCGCGATCTCTCGTATTTACCGTTATTATCAATGAGGTTCACGGAGGCCGGTGTTATCAGGTGGTCTTCTTCGTGTCACTCGTTGAACTCACGACTCACTCGCGAAACCATTTGAACGCGCTGTCACTGGCGCGTCATCGATCGTCACGCAGCATCATTTCCCGTCGATGTCCCCGTCCTCGTGCACGTCGTCGTCGACGTCGTCAACGTCGCCGAGCAGAAACGCGAGATATTCCCGTGCGCCACGAGCCTCGCGGAGGCTGCTGCCTTTCATCCCTCGGTAGCTAACGCAGATCCACTGTCGATTTCCCTCTCACGCTCCCTCATCGCGAACGCGTTCTCTTTCCTTCTCTCTCTACCATACTCCATCCCTCCGGAAATCATCCCCTCGCTCCCGCCAACGCGCGCGACTATCTGTACATTTCTCTCTTACCCTATCTCGCCAACCTCCACCCTTTCGCTCCCACAATTCACCCTCTTCCACACTCCCGTTTCCGCGGGTCTTTCATCCCTCTCGCTCGCATCCCCTTTTTCACGTGCGATCGTTCCCGTTTCACCCCTGTGTATCCTCCAGCCGCTTCCTCTCAGCCGATCGCCCTCTTTTCCCTCATCCCTCGGATCGCCTTGATGCTTCTCTCCTCCGAGACTCACCTCGTCTTTCGTCGCCCGCCCCGAGGGTTTTCCCCGCGCGCGCGACTTGCCGCACGACTTGCGCGCAGGGCGCATGCACGTTGTACCAACTCTCCGTCTCGACCGACCTACTGACACACAGCCGTGCGATCGGATTTTCGGAGCGAGCCGATCGAACATCGCCACACTACCATCGTTGTCGTCGTCGTCGTCGTTGTCGTCGCCATCATCGTAGCCGCTATCGCCGTCATTACCATCTCTCTTTAAAACGCGAAACGTGTGTCATTAACCCTCGCGAGTCGTATTACGCGACGAGACGCGATCGATGGAACGGGCGCGATCGATTCTGCTTATTCGCGATGCGAACAGCAAAAACCGATCGACTCTATATTCTTTAAAGTCTCGCTTGATTGAACAAGAAGACAAGAGAGATTTCCTTGCAAATAAGTCGCGCGTTTCTCTCCGGTAACTTCCAATTCGTGGCACGTTATCACAAATAAAGAAGTGGTAATATACACAGAAAATAAGAACAAATCTGCGGAACAATTCACGGCGACTATTTTCGCGATGTCTTGATGATGAGACAACGTTTCCAGACGTGACTCTCTCGACAAATAAAAAGTCTAAAAAGCGTCTAGCGTCTAGCGACGCGGGGCGAGAGATAAGATCAAATTAATGGGCGCCCGGCTAAGCATTAACGAAGATTCACTTTCCGCGTCATATCACACACATTACCGTGACAAAGTTATCCGATAACTGACTGTCGAGATTTGGGACACTTGGTGGAAGTATATACACGCGGTGTGATTTGCGACTACCGAGTATAACATATTACGGACGATCTTCTTCACGAAAATCTTTCGTAGGATAGATAATTCCCGCGGAATAACATCGTCTCTTAGCGCGAGCGATGTTTTACCATTGAGCTTTATTTGAAATATTTGTTAAAAAAATCTTGTAAGTGCAAAACACTAGTAATAATTAATAGAAGATTAATATTAATAATTTTAAAAATTATATTGAAAATATGAGAGAAAACTAAGAAATCTAAACATTTCAGCGTTATCACAGATTATCGCACGCATTTTGCTCAATTTTTTTTTGTAAGAGGAAATAATTAAAATAAAAAGAATTAAATAATCAAATTTAAATAATTAAATTCACGTTTCTATGGCCACTTAATTGCGCGAACATCTTCACAAAGAGGAATAGCACTCGCAGTGCCTTTTTCACGAAAACACAAATTAAAAATCGAACAAAAAGGATGAGAGAATACGGTCAAAGGAAAAATTTCAATATCGAATAATCAGCAAAATAAAACGCTCCGCTCCGGTCAATCGGTTTTTACGTTTTTTTTTTCTCGACACGTGATTCGTCGATCGAGATGCGAATCCTGCACATACGGATTCGCCTGATCGGATAGTTTGTGGCGAAAGCTCGCGCTAACTGGATTATCACTGGCGAGATTACGCGAGAAAAGCGTATGTTTCTTAAATCCTCGAAAAAGAAGTGGAATTAAAAACGACAGATATTTTGACAGTTTTTCCTTTCCTCCGTTCAATATTTTATCCTAAGTGTATACGAGAGAAATCTGCTTTTAACATTTTACACGCCGATCGCAACAGAACTCGTGTACGACATGTGGTTAGATTTGCAATCGATAAGCCTCGCGCGCCGAGGCAGGATGGATTTACTTAAATCGCCGCGGGACGATAAGAGTTTTCCCGCTAGAGCGACACACATCGGTCGGAAATCATTTCAACTGGAGAAAACGTGTTTCGATCAATTTTCGAAGATCCAGAGACGCGACGAAACGAAAATCGCGTCAGCGTATCTTTGCGCGGCGATCACTCTCAAATCACTCCCGCGAAACTCAATTTCTGCAAAAGCAGAAACTTTCAGAATCTTATCTGTTACTTTGTGGCAAATACATGTATGTGTATGCTGTTAAAAGAAAAATGTAATAAAACAAGAATATGAAAAATTAATGGAATTAATAAATTTTTATATCTCTGTTACGTACTTATATTTTTATAAACTATCGGTTTTTCAAACTTTCTACGACTTGTTTTCAGTTGTTTCACACTTGCGCATCTGTAATGTAAGACTCTCTTCGCGCAGTTCAACGTGCTGTTACCGCGAACACTCTTCTCTCTCTTTCTCTCTCTCTCTCTCTCTCTGATCCTTAGATTTTACACTTTGAGTGTATAAACACTATAAACGAAAAGCAGCTCTCGTAAATAAAGCATGCAGCTTAACTGAAACATGACGCGATCAGAAACACGCTTCGGAAACTTGCTAATTAACGCGGACGTTTAAATCTGTTAGCTGTTCAAAGTTTAATATGATTTGACGGGAAGAGGTGACGTATAAAATCTCGTTGATTGCAGGAGTAGTCCGGATTGACTGAAAATCGTCAGACTATGCGGTTAGTCCTCTCAGCGCGCTTCGAACGCTGTTAATAACATTATAACAATCGGACGTATATAATCCGCGTTTGTATAAAAATACAAACAATAATTAAATTTACACATTTATATTTTCTATTACTTCATTGTTAAACTTAAAATGTAATAAATACACTATCAAATCTTAAAGTTAAATAAAAACAATATAAAACGCACGAAAATTGAAATCGTGTCCGAGTTGAGATTCTATATATGTGACGTCTAAAATCGGAACTTCGAGTTTCACAAGAATCTTCGTATCTGGTTTCGCTTCTTTGAAACACTTCGGTGTCAAATTCTTCGTGTCCTTCCGAAAATCACGACAAAGCCCGACGAAAGCATAGGATTAATTCCCGCAAACATTATCATAGATTTTGAGAATATCTCTTCGTGATATCCTCGGGCGCGCGATCGCCGTATGATATCCATAAGGAAAATTAAGCCCGAACAAAACCCGTTTCAGAATTACTCAAACAACAATAAATCCGCGTATGCAAGCACGCGTGGCATTAATGGATTATAAGGCGAATGTACCGCGAATGTACGATCGCGGTGTGATTTTGGAGCTTGCGCGATGCCGTAAGACCGCGCAAGCTAAGGGGGTACGCGGCGCTAAGACCCACGCGGCCGCCGCAATGGCTCGTCGCGCCTCGTGGCGACTGTCAAACTCTCGTCGTCGATCATCAACGAGAACGGAACACGTGCGCTCCCGAAACTTCGTCAGAGCCAAGAGAAGATCCTTACCTGACGAGTCAATCCCGAAGATGACATCGAAAAAACTGTCGCTGTGAGTAAAATAATCATAATGTCGTAATGAAAGATCGACAAATGTCCTTTAAAAAAACGCGAAGTTTGACGAACAAATTTTAATGTTTAAATTCTACGGCTGTGTAGATCCAATGCAGGATATAGTGCAATAATTAAAACTTAAATAATTTTTTTCTCAAAACGTTTCGACTTTATTTCGAGTTCTTATCAATTGAATCTAACACAAAAGAAAATTATTTACAGATAAACTTCAACATTCTAAAAAACTTAAAACATTACAAATAATATTACAATCTGACATACCTAAAACAATGGTGTGCTTATCACATGTTAATTGATATAAAAATGTTCAAAATAATGGTGTACTTGATCACATGTTAAATGAGATAGAGCGTTCTTCAAAGAATCAAGTCATACTTGTTCATGCACGCAATCAATACTGAGTCTAAGAACTAGGATCGAACGGAAAGAGAATTATCGCTCCCTCTATGTATTAAAACGTAATTTGTCAAGAATAGGGATGTACGTATCATGTAACGCCTCAGTGTCTCTCATAAGGTTCAGACCATGTTCTTGTTTTTTAATATGTAACATTTCAGAAGTCTGTCTTTTGTAATAATTCTGTTCTATGTCTAATATTTTGACCGAATTAGATTCAAATCCATGTCCAGTCTCAATACTATGTTTGGCTACTACTGACGTATCTACTTGTCCATTCCTGACATAATTGATGTGTTCTTTAATTCTAGTCTTTTGGTTTGTTTTACATATGATGATGTGCATTGTTGACAAGAAATGCGATAAACAACATTTTTTTGTTTGTTGAATAAAACTGGGTCTTTGTGTGTTTTAATATATTTTGATAACTGGTTTAAATTACGATACGTTGGATTGATCTTTTTGTTATTGATTTTGATATGCTCTAACTTATTGTTATGATTGTAAATGTAAGGCAATACAAAAAAGAATTTATCTGTTTCATCATCCGTAGAATTTATGATATGTTTATTTAGTTTATTTCTGAACAACACTCTTAATCTCCTATTAATGATTTTGAAAATGAAACGTATTGGATAATTATTATTTATTAAAATGTTGATAATAAAATGTAAATTTTTATTGTGGAATTGAGGATCTGATAAAAGTATGGCTCTATCAACAAGAGAGTAAACAGTGCCTATTTTATGGCTGAGTGGATTCTGTGAGAGATAATTTAAATAACGGCCGGAATAAGTTGGCAAACAAATTTTATTTCTCTCTCTCTCTCATGTAATGTTTTATCATTAATGACAATTTATTTTTTTTTTGCGGTTTTTTTGTAGATAGAATGTTATTCGAATAAATATCGCTCGAAACGTCAAATTAGTGAGTGAACGGATGCGCGAGAAATAAACTATATTTTTTGTGTGTTTTTTAATCGTTAATCAATCATGCTAATTACACAAAATAGCCGAGTTAGGCTTAAACAAATCGATAGAGATAAATATAAAATAATAATTCTCGCGCAAAATAATAGAAGTATTGATAAATAATTAATATATTGCTATATATATATATTTGACAATAAATATGCAACATAATTGTTTTGTTACTCTTAAGTACACATCTCGTAGTTTAAATTAATAATCGTAATAATCGTTCTATTTTAAAAATCGTGTTCTGATGATGCTCCCCGTACGAATGATTATGATTATACACTCGCTCTAATTGTTATTCAGATTTACTCTCTTTCCCGACTTATTCGAGATGTTGTTTTGTACGCCGTATTTGTAAAAAGCACTTTGCATACATCTCGTAATAATAAAAACTTTCAATCATCGCGCATCAAAGCGCTGCCGCGCTTCTGACGTATGAGACTCAAAGGTGCATCTTATGCTATTATAGGTATGTGCGCCGATCGCGCAACTTGTGTAAGAGCTTCTGAATGTTTCAAGAACGGATTTCGAGACAGCTTGTTTCCCACGGGAAACGTAATTACTCTTTGAATTTAATTGAGCATATTCGTCGAGTCGTATGTTTGATACGCGAAGAGAGACATCCAGATATAAATTGCATCGTTTCGCGAAACATTTGATTTTTTAAGTTCTTTTACGCGTCTCGCAACTTGGCAGTCAACGCTAATAACGATATCGTATAATATTTAACAAGTGTAAACCAGAGATTTTTTTATATCGGGTAAATATTTACAAATAGTGAAATCGTTAATCGCAAACGCGACGAAATTGGAGTCGCGGTTTTCTAAACGAAAGTAATGAAGTTCCAGCTAGAGCAGCAATGCAGATTAGAGCGAGGGTGGTTTCGCAAGATCGGTTACCCGCAAATTCTCCATATGTATCAATGAGATACGCACAAAGTGCGCGCGCGCGCACACACACACACACACACACATACGCGGACACGTGCTTTGTCTCGATTCAATAAAATACCTGTTTTTATTTGTCTCAAAGATAATGCAAAATCGCGTATGTGTGTGTGTATAGAGAAAGAATTTTTTATAAATTCAAATCTCTCTCTCGCGGGCATACAACGGAAACGGGTGGGTGCAATTTCGCGAAGCGAACAGAGGATACGTGATATTTTATTTGCGATTTTTACACTCTTTTACGGGAAATGGAAGAGTCAATAACAAAAGCAACCGGTCTCTCACTACTTTCCCGAGGATTTCAAATGAAAAAGGATCCCGTACACACACTCGCGCGCTTCTTCGATTTCGCTTCAAGTTCATCTAGACTTTCATACCACTCCGCATTCTCAGTGTGCATTCTCACCGACTTCGAAATAAAAAAAAAAAAATTTAGAAAAGGCATTTATTAATTAAAGATATTTAAGCAGCGCGAAAATATCCGTTCTTTTTTGCGACCGTCCGCAAATTTGCGCTCTCCGAATTCCTCGCGAAAATATCCAAGAAATTCTGCAAAAATTAGAGGTGCGATAAAAAAAAAAAAATAAAATTATAATCGATTGTGATATTATTTGATTGAGTTTATTTATGTACATGTATACATATTTGATTTTGTCAAATGTACGATGTATAGAACAATCCGTTTGGAGAGTAAACACACCAAATGAACATATTTTGGTTTGACGTCTCGAAATTCCTGACGTAAATTTGCGGAGAGCAAATAATGTTCTTTTCTCATATACGTCGCGTATATGAAACTAACAACGGCGATGAAAAAGCAATTAAAACCCTTTCGCGAATAACCAAATTCATGCATTATAACACATCGAAAGAAACGTCGTCTGGAAATTGCATTTTGTGCAAAATTTTCACAATTTACTGTGAGACCAAGTGTAACATATATTCACTTTTTTGTTTTTTACATACAGCGTAATATTTTTAATTTACCAAGTAAACTGTAATGCCTAAATTTCAAAGACTCTGTGTGACTCTGTGCAGTCGAGTTGGAGATTCGATTATATTACGAATCGCAGACGCAAATATAGTTCGCGATCGGCGATTAATCTCGGCGGTGGACATCTGATTAATTGCCGCATTTGCGTAATTAATAATTTACATCGGTGTTACGTGATTTATTGCGTTTCTCGCGAATCGCGCTTTTTATCGTCATTTATCCCCTGATTTTCGTAGTTTCGCGCTCTCCATTTGAGAATGAGCCGGAGATCGAGCGCAAAACGATCTCACATAGAGATCGTGATGTAACCCGCGAGTGCGCGACGTTTCTCTCGAAACAGTGACGCGAAATCTTCGCGCGGGGGTGAATGCTGCTGAATCGGCGGATGACAAGAGGTACTCGTCCACTTTTTTCTACCCGACGATCAGTACCTATATGCCGTGAAACCGGATAATGCTCGTCTCGTTTTTACCGCTTTTTCGTGACTTTATTACGGCTTTATTGTTCCACGTGCGATGGGGAAACGACGTAACGACGCTTGCGTGATGTACAGCAACGTCAATTTGCCGCAACAACTGCGATTTGTAAATTAATCATAATTTTCGTTTGGGAGAAGGGGGAAGCAATAAAAAAAAGATCTATCTGCGCGCGATTACGATAATAGGCAAATATCTTCATTGCGCGTATCGCAAAAGCTGCGGTTTATCGATGTAGCGGGGTTAATCTGACTTCTTCGCGAACGAAGTTCTGGCACGTGGGCGATGCTATTTCGCGGCGGCTATGCCGGAAGAGCGACAGGGAATGTGGACACAAGAGTTGAAGAGATAGAGAGAGAGAGAGAGAGAGAGAGAGAGAGAGAAAGAGAAGAAGGAAGAGGGAGAACAGCATGTCCCAGATAACTCCTTGTAATATCTTTGTAACGTTAACGTCGTCATTATACGTCACGTTATACGCGCTCGAGAAGAGAAGTTTCGAATACCGCGCGCACCTTTCGTCATCAATTCCCACTCGACACAACGGCGTATAAAAATTGTTCGATGCAATTAAAAGTGAATAAATGAATAAACTCAGGAGAGTTCATATGGAATACAAATGTAAAAGTGCATTATTTTCGCAGAAGCTAAAGATACGTGCGTGCACACGTATATATCGCGTTGAAACTCTTCTAAATATATAAAAAAAAAAAAAATTAATACAAGTATAGAAAAATGAAATTTATACATAATTTTATAATAATTTCGCATATTCGTATCTACGTAGACGGGAATAAAATTGTCGCTCGCGCGTAAAATACATTAAAGACAAAGTAAAGATTTTAAAATATTAAAGGAAAATTGTGTTACTTTTTTTTTGTAAGAGAAAATTGTATTATTATTTAAGTGAATAATTCTCGTTATCTCTCGGGTCCTTTTTCAATTTAAATTGAATAATTGGTCCTCGATATGCGTTTCTCTTGGGAGGACAGAATATCAACTTTATATTGCCAAATCGAGCAGCTACAACGATCACACACCCACAAAGTGCACTCACGTTCACTAAATCCTTAATGAATTTCAATTATCGACATTCAGAACTCATTTATAATGCTGAATATGACTTGATGACAGGTTCATCGCAGGCCCCGACAAAATGTATTTTTTGTTTACAAGTTTTTTGATAAGAGCGTCATTGCACTTAAACTTCGCACGCAAACGTTATCTTTTTTTATTCTTCTTAAAATTTTCATTGATATAAAATATTGGCTGTGATACGGTATGACCCAACCCAAAGTTCAGTGGTGACACTGCACATGATGAAAGACTATACTATAATCGTAAAAAACGCTTTTTTTACACGTTCTTTCAAGATGGCGGCTTGAATGTCTGACCGACAAAAAATTCTTTCACATTTGTTTTCAGCGACTAAAAATACACAAAGATACCAAGTTTCACAAAGATCGAAGCGGAAGTAGCTAATGCGCAATTTTATTAAATTCAGAAACTTGAAATTGTTATATTTTCTAAACTAAAGCTGTGTCTCCCGCAAAATTTTTGTGGAGAATTACTCGGTACGACTTCTCTTACAACATATCTAAAGCGCAACAAAAATGAGCGAAAAATCGATGAGATGTGACGTACAATGCATATTTTCCTCTCAGTATTCGCTCGCTTATATCTTCAGTGTCTTTAATATGCCGAAATTAAAACTTGACATATATGTTTCTTGTGTAACAGTCTTTCATCATGTGCAGCGTCATTACTGAACTTCGGTTGGGTTCATACCGTACCATATCCAAAATATTGTCTTTCTTTAAATTTTTACGTTAAAAGCGAACGTTTTATTAAAGACTGTGTCGTATCTTGTAAATGTGATCTGTGTTTACTTAAAGTTGATCACAATATTATTTAATTCTAAATAATACAAGATATATTACTTTAATAAAGTAACAATTTTGCATTGTATAATATTTTTGCGCAGTTTTGTTGTTCTCGTGCCGCTTACTATGTGCAAGTATCGTTATCACGCGTTTGAGATCAAAGCGGCGTCGGGTTTCACATCGCCCAAATCTGAATCGACGCTAACGATAGACCGGATGCGCAGAGCTGCCTTGAACGATGTCGTCTCGAAGAACATCACTATGGTTCTCGAGAACCTGCTGATGAACTACGAAAACAGTCAGTTGCCCACGCACGGTAAAGGTAAGAAGATCAGATTTCTTCCCTCTTTCATACGTATAGTTGCGATCTCTCGTAAAGTCTCGTTGATAATGTAACTCATCATCAAAAATAATTGGGATAATATGCAAGTGAGAATATATTGTGCCTTCGAAAATTATTTAACAAATTGAATTTAAATAATAAATTTGCATCTATACAATGTTGGCACTAATGTATCACAAGGCGCATTGTGAACTGCGGTCGCTTCATCGTGTGCATATTATGTCCTGCATTCGCGCTAATCTCAGCACATCGTACGGCGGAAAATAATATCGCCGGATAATTGGATTCCGAAGAGTCTAGGAAGATCGTATACGGTGGTCTAACCGCATTAATTGCCGACCAATAATAGGCGCACAAGCTACAATGCGGATTAGGAGGACACTGGTCTGAGATATACATTGCAAATTTAAATAAAAATTAAAATATTATGTATCTGAGATTTTATCCCAATATTTTGTTTGAATGTTATGTTATATATTCGACAAAGACCGTTTGTCACAAATAGTCATCGATTTTTTTTTTTTTACATAGCGATATGTTCTAAACTTTCCCCAAATATACTGCTATTGACACATTCCATAAATCACGTCAAAGTCAGTTTTGATATTAGTCATTCCGCATTTTTTCCAGGCGTGCCCACAGTGGTGAAGACCAATATTTTAATTAGAAGTATGGGTCCGGTGTCCGAGCTTGACATGGTGAGATTCGAAAACTTTTTCAAAGAAAATAAGAAAAGTGAAACATTTACATGCGTATATAAACGAAAAAGTTACATTATATAGAGTAGAACAAAGCTAGTAGTAATAGTTGAGTCTAGAGGCAAGTTGAGATTTGCGAATATTTAACCGAAATGCCTAAGGAGATATTGATGCCTGCGTAAAAAAGCGCAGAAACGTAAATTTTTTTGTTTTTCTGCAAAAATAAAATTATTGGATGTCTGTTTTTTATGGATCTACATAATAATTAGTAAAAACTAAGAAAGTTTTTTTAATATAAGTCATTAAGGTATTTATTAACTTTAATGTTCATGTTGCTATTTTATTTACGGTTTTTTAATTACAAAAAACAATATTTTACCAAACATCAATATTGGGCTAGTTGGGTCACAAAGTGGTTCTAAAGTTCAACTGTTTCTGACTACATTGTTGTTTTGATTTTAATAAGTTACTTTTTATCTTTCACTAGCACAACACAGGCGCGCGCTACGCGCACGCTATTGTTGTTTTTATTTAACGTGTTGTCAGTGAACACAACCTGTCACCGCGATGACAGATATAGTATATATAGTACGTCTTATAAACCATATAATACATATGAGAAATGTCAGAAATAACGCATGAAAATCAAACTCAAAAAATAGTGAGAGAGAGAAGTGGAAAA